CGGTTTGAATCATCACTATTCCCACGTTTGCTATCAGCATACATTCGACCCTATACAGAGTACGCCATCCAAGCTTGGAATCCATGGCTTCAACGTGATCGCAAGATGCTTGAGCGTCCACAAAGGATGGCCACTAAAATGGTCAAGGGATTGCATTACCTAACATATGAGGAGAGATTACGATCATTGGGACTATGTTCTGCTGAGTACCACCGAACTTGGGGAGACCTGATTTTCACGTATCAAATACTGCAAAACCCAAACCATCCGTGTCGATCGCTGCTCATGTTATCGAACAATGTACGCCTAAGGGGACNTAAGGGGACACCGTTTCAAGCTACTGATTGCAAAGTGTCGACTGGAATGCTGGCGCCAGTCTTTTGCAGTCAGAGTATGCAATTCTTGGAATGCCCTTCCGTCTCATGTTGTTTATGCACCCATTATTGAGTCTTTTAAGCAGAGACTCGATGAAACCTTGGCACCATTCACATTCGTACATCACTAAAAGTAAACGCAAACTCACTGCGGCCTACATTCCCTATTATCTCCTATCTGGAACTCTAAGTGACTCCTTTTTCGGAGTGTAACGATTCACCTGTGTAAATATCCTATGGGGATAAGAAAAGCATGAGCTTGTAAGTTATTCCCATAATAAAACGCTGACTTTGAAATAGAAGTTCGTGGATCACAGTCACACTTCTCACGGAGATGCTAGAAGCAACATGCACTAGCACACAGTCCGTTGTATCAGATACAAGTTGATCCTAGACGAGGACAACTAAAAACAATTAGATAAGTGAAACTTGTAGAGTACGAAAATACCTGGGCACAGATACAGACGCATACACGAACGAAAAGAGAGACCTGCGTACACGGACGCAAGTATACCCACACATGAATATACGTTTACTTATCAGTCGAAAAATACTCTCGCGTTGAAACGCATACATTCTTAACCAACCCTCTACCCCTAACTGTCCTATGATCACCAAACACAATGTGACTGAATAACTTCATCTATTTAGACATCAACAATAGATGGCCAACCGACAAGAACACTCAGTAATTCCGTGACAATCGTATGAAACGTATCACACTCTACAGCCGTGAGTGTTTAGTCAGATGACAAACTGTGTACATGCTTAAATGTAATCTCGCGATCGTCTTGTATGCACAATTTGCAACGGTCTTAATGATCGCCAGACCAGAACATTTCAGCAGGGACAGATACAACAGCGAAACAAGAACAGAAAATTTGAGAAAGAGTTTTAAAAAAGATTGAGCGTTCCTTTTCCCGACTATAGGTATGAAAGTCGATCTAAGCTGAATACGGATGGTGAAACTGTAAAGAGAATTGTAATGTGGTTCTTGAATGCGGCGATGGCATCGTCTTACTCGCCTGCGAACTCTAGGGGGCTCAGAATCTACTAAACTGAATAGACGACTGAAGTGAATCGATGCATAGTTTACTTTGTATTACAATGTGTTTGGTGCTTCAACAGGTTTGGTGAGAGCATGCATTCGTTCTAAATTTATCTAGGTTATCGACAGGTTTGTTTACCTGGAAACGGAGACGTGGGGGAGAACAGCTTAAATTAAAGGATAGATTAACCTTTACAAACCTTAAGCATCCCAAGCGCTGCCACATTCGTCTTCCCCTGAAATACCGAGCATTTGATGTCACTGTTTTGGTGCAATGCCGCGAAACATGGCTATTTCAAAATCAGTATATTCATTATCTGGTAAAGTTATGCATCCGACATTTATGCAATATCATATGCGCTTTAGGGGAAGCATCGCGTCAGCACGACCAAATGTACTATTGGATGTGTGCCATAGTCGAAGACACTCTAGAAAACGTCGGTTAGCTGTTCTGACCCCACTTTGAATGCACTTCGGGTACGGTTGGAGAAAAAATAGACTAGAGAATAGCTCACGTCTTCGTCGAGCGAGAACCAACAACAATCTAAGAAGCTCGTTTCTCACCAGCAGCGGCATTCATCAAGGGTAAGCTATTTTGCTATTTCTGTTCAACCTCATAATAGATGCTACACTTAATACCCCATGGCACACCCAGTACAGAGTTATCATCGTTTGTGGATCATGGACAACTGTAACTCATAGTTATCACCCCCTGGCTCATTCGCTTAACTATAAGGATCGCACAAATGTAATCAAGCTGTGAAAAGATACAACGGGTTGATCAACGACGCAATGAGGATAAGAATCTATGGTACGGAGCTCAAAGAGAAGCTCCAGATGACAGATTGTTGCCATTCCCATTGTGGATTGAATGTAATGGTCATCACGTAAATTTCAGAGAAGTCATTTCTGTTAGCTAGTGAATGAGTCCAAATTTGATCGTGAAATACTGCTAACTCTTTCAATGGGTCGAGTATCATTGTTAAATATATTGTCAACTGCGATTTCAATGCTAGAAACAGGCAGCCGATTGCATTTGGTTCACAAGAAATTGGTGTTATTCGAGGGGACCTCTGAATCAATGGAATTTAATCACTAGGCCACTGAAGGCCAAGACTGAAACCACTCATGCAATGAATCATTCCAACATTCACGTCTGGTCATGGTGACCGATGTATCGATCCATTTTGACTTCCTTCGCTTCCTTACCCGGCCGATATAGATCAATTACCGCCACGTTCGTTCATTCGCATTTGTGACGCACATTCGATCAACGATCACGGACATAACGCTCCCGAATAGGGCGGTGGAGAACAGCCAACCCAACCCCACCGAAACTATTACTACTCGCTGGTTAACTCACAGCAAACAGTACTTTTGTTTGTTCACGGAGAAATTAGTTCACTCAGACTGGACGGGGTTTAGACAAACCCGGTCCAATCGGTAACGCCGGACGGCCGAAACACCAATTATCTTGTGGGGTTCCCAGTCGAATGCTATTGGTTGGATTCACTGGAATTTTAAAAGGTATACAGCACAGAGATCTAGAAAATTTTAGCATTAAATGAACAGTTGGAGGAAAGCGCCGATGACATCACTACTCTAATAGAATATATGCTTACAAATTCCGTAACTCTGATCGGTATGTGCTTCACAACTTCAAAGAACAAACCGATGTTACATTAATAAATGTCGAGTAGTCCCACCCTGAAACTAGATAATAACTAATTGTTTGAAATTTATGGTTCTGATACCTAGGTAGTTACAGCACCAATGACGACAGTGCAGTAAAGGATAAATATGCACATACTCGAGAACCGCAAGGAGGACTGAAACACATTTGGCATCGCCGTGACGCTTCAATGAAGTTGAAAGCCCGTATAAATCGTGTATGCAGTTATATTATGTACTCTGGGTGTTGACCATGGAGGTTCATCTTCTTTTACTCTCCATCGAAAAAGGCCCACTCACATCCAGCTTACGCGGTCGCCTTTGCTTTGGGTTTACCGGGAGTGTGGTGGTGATCAGCAAAGTTCACTTAACAGTATTTTACCGTACGACGAAAATGATTGTCATCAGTAGGATTATTTAGATGCATTCGGAAAAAGGAACAGCCATATTTACCTTGGCGTCTGTTATGGCCAACTGAGGATGGAGAGTTGATTTGTTTACTCGCTGTTGGCATTCGTACCTGTCATGAACAACGTTTCATTCATAGTGTTTTGAATTGTCGAAGCACACCACACACTTAGGTAATGCAAAGAATAGTCAGTGGGGCCATTC